AAAAAAAGAGCTCTAACGGATATAACAGCAAGTGTGTTTAGGGGTGTTAAATAGCTGACTATATTAATGTTTTTGGATCATCGAACACAGCTGTTTGCAGTCTCTCTGTTTGAATGTCTACTTTGTATTCTTTGATACTGTGATTTGAGCAACTATTTCCAAGATGATAATATGTAATCTATTAACAGGTGATTTCTTACTGTTACGGTTTTTTTTTTTGTAGTTCTGTATTATGTGTAACCTTACACTGCTTTGTTTTGTTTTGTGTTTTTCTCTTTTTCCTCTTAAATAAAAAAAAAAGATTTAAAATATTGCTCTGAGTCAGTTACCTTGTGGCTGTCTCAACAAGGCTATAATCATTAAAATACTTCCTAATCGAAATCCACAAAAGAAATGTAAATACTGGAATCAAGCATACAACAAACAGTTCTTTATACATTTGCAGTTTTTTTTTTTTTTTTTTAGGCAGGCGCTTATGCCGCTGAGCTAAATCCTCAGCCCCCCTGTAATTTTTTTTTTTTTTGGTGTCGGGGATCGAACTCATGACCTCACATTTGCCAGATAGGCGCCTACGCCACTGAGCTAAATCCCCAGCCCACATTTGCAGTTTTTAGAATATGTCCCATGTTTTACACCTGATACAGGCTCAGTTTTGATGCTATTAACACTGAGGATATTAACACACTTTTGGGCTTGAAGCTGATGACACTGATGGGCTCCATACCGAGGAGATCCATTCGCCTCCCTCCTTCTGTGGCTGGCTGAAGGTGTCCTTCTCATCTGCTAAATGAGGAGTTTCCTGGCCCACGTAGCTCTTGAGGCTCCCGGGGTGAGGACTGTGAAGTGGGGCAGGAAGATGAACAAGCTATCTCTCCTGATGGGAGAAAAGAAACTGCCCTGCACAGCAGGGGTGTTTATTTATACATTTTAGCAAGTTAGTGTCACATGACACCTCTTGTCCTAGCAAGCACTGTCAGATAGTCTCTTGGGGCCAGGGGTTCTCTGGGCTGAAGCAGCTTCTTTAGGTGGCTGCCCCAGGCACCCTTAGTTCTTGGGATGGCCATGCCCCAGCCCTACATGTGTGGTTAATTTTCAGCTTCAGTGGCTGGTGTTACAGTTGAATGGGCTGAAAATGGTTTAGATCTCTCTAAAATGCTTGCCCAGACTGGATATCCTCCTGCCTCAGCCTCCCAAATGCTGGAATTACAGGCATGAGCCACTATACCCTGCCAAGAAGCAAGATGAAGCCCGACTCTTGCTAGGTGTGGTAGCACACACCTGTAACCCCAGCCTGACAGCAGCACTGCTGTGAGTTCATGGTCAGGCTGAAGCAAGCCGGTGTCTCAAAACAAACAAACCAGTCAGGAAGGACGTGAAGCCCCACTCTGGTGTCAAGCAGGGCTGGTTAAAACTGCTCTCAGAAGCAGCTTGCTCACTGCCTGGGTCCAGCACAGACGCCAGGTCTGCCTGCCTTCCCCGCCCCAGGTGGGCAAGGCCAGAGGCCAGGGCTTCGGCTTGGGCTGGACCACTGGGTGGAGAACACTGAGACCTGCTGTGCTCCACAGCTGGAGACTCGTTCAGAACCACAGTCAGAAAGCTCTTTTCTGTTTGTGGACTCACTTTTCTTCCTTCCTTCTTTTTCTTACTCCAGTTTTCTTTTTCCTCCGTTTCTCTATATGACTTTTTCTCTCTTTTGAGACAGGGTCTCACTACGTAGCCCAGGCTGGCCTTACCCTGGAGGTGATCCTCCTGCTTCAGCCTCCGGAGTGCTAGGATTACATGTATACACCACCACGCCTGGCTCTTCCTTCTTTTATGTCTCAAGTATTTTTTTCTTTTTCTTGTTACGTTTATCTAATTCTATAAAATAATCTTTGATCTCACTTTTCTGTCCTTCTCACCTCTCATGGTTAATTTTTCAATTTTTCTCTTACATTCTCCATTTCTAGCCCCCTATGTCTTTAACAGTAAAACCGTTAAGCTTTATTAGACTTTAGACAGTTAACTGTGTCACTACCGCTGAATTCTTTTCTATCATTAGTAGCAGTATAGTTATCACAATTAGTAAATGTGCGCTGTATGACAATACTTGGTTTCTCTTAGGGTTTAACCCTAATCGCATATTTCTTTTCTAAGGGTTAGGGTGGTACTGTACTGGTTTTTATGCTATCGTCTTGGACAACGTTACTGTTGCTGACTTACTTGACGCTGCAGGTTTGCCCATGGCTGGTATTAACGGATTTTCTCTGTATGACAAAACCCAGAATACCTTTGTGACGTTAACAATACTAGTATTGTTAACTGGTATACTGGTATACTGGTATCAAGCCAGGAATGGTGGTGCATGCCTGTTATCCCAGCACTCCGGAGGCTGAAGCAGGAGGGCTGCTGGGAATTTGAGTCCAGCCTGGATTATGCAGTGAGGTTAAGCTGGCCTGACTGCATAATGTGACCTTGTCTCAAAAAATGCACAAACAAAAAAGAAACAATCCTGTTGCAGCCTGGGCTACACAGTGAGGCCCTGGGTTCAATCCCCAAATGACAGCAACAGCAAAACAGCACATATGCTGAAAAACAGTTTAGAAAAAGCAACCACTTCATACCTACCAGGATGGCTGCTGTAAAAAAAAAAAAAGCTGGGAAATAACGAATGTTGATGATAATGTGAGTAACAGGCAGCTTCCACACTGCTAGTGATCGTGTCCAGCGGTGCAGCTGCTGTGGGAAGGAGTGGCCTTCCCTCAAGACGCTGACCGTGACTCCCACATGACTCGGCAACCCACTTTTAGGTGCAGGCCCCAAAGAACTGAAATCAAGACCCAAACACACACTTTCACACCAGTGTTCATTGCCGCCTTATTTACAATAGCTCCACAGTGGGAACAAGCCCGCGTCAGTTTGCAGATGAACAAAAGACCAAACTGTTGCATAGTCACATCAGGGAATAGTATGCAACTGTGAACAGGAATGAAGGCCGGATACCAGAATTATGCAAATGAAACAAGGCAGTCACAAGGACAATTATTATGTGGTTCTACTTTCATGACATACCTAGAACAGGTACATTCCCAGGGACAGAAGGTAGATTTGAGGTTCTAAGGGACAGGAGTGAGGGAGAAACGAGAAGAAAACCCTTTAATGGCTGGTGTCTGGGGTGATGGAAAAGTTTGAAAAGAGGTCAGAGGTAACAGCTGCTCACACTGCTTGTGTGTAGTGATACTGGGAAGTCACATGCCTGTCGCCCTGGCCACTTGGGAGGCAGAGATAGGCCAGCCTAAACTACAGAGTAAAACTTAAAAATATATATATAACAATACACAATGTATTAGCTATTGTTACTTTCCTATTATTTTGTTTTTTCTTAAAAAATTAAGAAAAAAAGGCAGATTTTTACATCATATGTTCTCGTTACTATAACATAAAGAAGCAATGAATGGATTTATTCAGCATCAAAGTTTTCATACATAGTTCAATTTTTTTTTGAGACAGGGTCTTGCTTGAACTCACTGCCTAGCCCAGGCTAGCTGTCCTTGAACTCCTGGTGATCCTCCTGCCTCAGCCTCTCAGGTGCTGCGATTAGGGAAGTGCACTACTGTACCTGGCCACTAGTCTGATTTTATATTGCTTCACAAAACAGTGCTGTCAAAAAGTTGCAAAAACTTTTATACTCTAGTATTTTCAAAATGCATGAAGATGTTTGTTATAGCTTCATTTATAATAGAAGTAAAAGCTGGTAGCAACATAACTCACAATAGCTAAATGCTTAGACAAAGTAACTTTATGCCAATAATATTTTCGTTAAATTAATCACAATTATGGGGCAGAGGCTTTAGCTTAGCAGCACAAGTGCCCGCCTGGCAAGTGCAAGGTCGTGAGTTCAATCCACGGTACAAAAGAAAAAAAAAATCACAGTTATGTAGCAACGTGGAACTTTGCCATAATACTGCATTAATAAAATGGAAATTTTATGTATTGTCCTAGGAAACATAAAAGTACGTATGGCATGTTGGAAACCACAGCGATGAGATGAGGGTTGTCTGACTCAGTAATTTTAAAATCATTTTTTTCGGGTCCCATTTTATTTTATTAAAAATTAAAGGGAGCCAGGCGAACGTCTGTAATCTTGGGAGTATGGAGGCTGAGGCAGAAAGATCACCCTAAGTTTGAGCGCAGCCTAGGTTAACAGAGTTCAAAGGCAGCTTCAACTACATGGTGAGACCCTGTCTCAAAACGAAACAAAACAAACCAAAAAACAAACAAAAAGCCAAACCAAAACAATAACAAAAAATGAGCCAGGTGTGATGGTATACATCTCTGGGAGGCTGAGGCAGGAGGAATGAAAGTCGAAGCTCAGTTTGGGCAATTTAGGGATTTAAAGAGACCCTATCTCAAAAACAAAAAGGCCTGCAGATTTAGCTCAACGCAGAGTCCTGGATTCAATTCCCATCAAGCATAGAGGGGCTCAGGGGAGATGAGGGGGTAGGGGGGAGGAGGGGAAGAGAAGGGGGAGGGGCGGGGAGGAGCAGCGATGGGGTGCAGCCGCGCGGTCCCCGCTCCCGGCCTCGGGTCGCGCGCGGGCCCGCGGGTTCCCGGTCCAGGGTGCGCCGGGCCGCACCACAGGCCTGCGCCGCCATCTGGAGGCGAACTCCTTCCAGCGGTTTCTCTCTGTTCGCCAACTCTGGGCCCCGCTTTCCCTCCTCCTCACCGGCGGAGGCTCCCCCGTGCCTCATTCCCGCGAGCTGGGCCTCTCCGGGCGCCGCCCCAGACCCCAGGCCCGGTCCGCAGCGCCGAGAGCCGCCGCACGCTAGCTGGAGTCCCCCGAGCGAGATCCAGAGACACCGCAGCGGCCTCCCAGGGGGCCCGGAGCTCCGCCCACGGCCCCGCCCACCATCCAGGCCCCGCCCCCGGGCCCGCGGACCCGCCCCCTTCAGGGCGCGGCGCAGAGGCGCAGGCGCGAGGGCGCGCGGGCGGCATGGGGACTGCAGCGGCTGCGGCGGCGGCGGCGGGGGAGGGGGCGCGCAGCCCGAGCCCCGCGGCCGTGTCCCTTGGCCTCGGCGTGGCCGTCGTGTCCAGCCTGGTGAACGGGTCCACGTTTGTGCTGCAGAAGAAGGGCATCGTGCGCGCTAAGCGGCGAGGTAGGGCTCGGGCCGCGAGGGCTGGGCGGGGATGCTGCAGAGGCTCGGTCCTCGCCGCGCCGCGGTCCCTAACCTCCCGGGCCACGCGGCCTCCCCGCGACCCGGCCCGGCCCGTCTGCGCCCTGGCCTCCCGCCTGGGCCGGGCCGGGCCGGGACCGAGCTGACGGCGGCCCGGGCCTCGTCCCGGCGCGGCGAGCGCCCCCGCCGGCGGCCTCTGCGCCGGGGTCCTGGACGGAGACGTTTCTGGTGTAGACCTGACCGGTCTGCGGGCTGCAGAAACCCGAATGGCCCCGCCGCGCTCCCGGGGTGCACAGGTTCCGGATCGCCCCTCTCCTGGTGCAGGAGAGCTGAATATGGTCTGGAGGGCCCCGGGACTCCTGGTCCAGCGCGGGGTCAGCGTGCTCTGAAGCAGAATGAACATTGCCTCGGAGGGACTGGAAAATCTTGTGGTTGGTGGTCGGAATCTCACGAGACTGTTTTTAGGAGCTCCCAGGAAAGGACCGGGCTGCCAGTTCATGGGCCCTGAGAGGAAGTAAACCTATGTAGTAGTGCAGATTCCAAAACGCAGGTGGAGGGTCCTCTGTCCCTGGTGGGCGCCGAGCCAGCAGTGCCTTCAGAGAAGAGATAACTATGGGTATTTGTTTAAAGAAGTTAACTTCAGAGTGAAAACATCGCAGTCGTCGTATAAAACCCAAATAAAACCAAGCATGACTTCCCAGGGATGTGGAAGTGTCAGAGAAGCACAGACACACCTCAGGCACACACGTCTGCTAACAGCACTGCTCAGGGGCACTCGTCATTTTGACAGACCTCAGGGCTGGGTGGAGTGTGTGTTGTGACTCAGAAATAGCTCACGTGGCCTTAATAAAATGATAGGAGAAAGGCACTTTATCTCTGTGATAGCCTGCCAAGTCCCATGGCCCCAGTGTGACCCTGAGAAAAACACGGCAAACCGTACCGACCTGAACTGGGGAACACATACAGAGATGCCAACCAGTTCTCTAGTCAAAGTCATGAAATCTGAGACACTGTCACAGCAGGAGGAACCTCAGGACACATGACACTAGCTCTTAAGACTTTCAGAGAAAACAAAGGAAATCTGTATGTGTCATTTCAGCTCAGTTTATGTATTTCAGAGAACTGGTGACCAGCAAACACAAATAAACCTCTTTAAGAGCTCGTCCTGAGTCAGCCTCCCTGACCAGCACTCCCTGAGTGCTGGGGTCTGCAGGAGTGCATCGCCACCCCTGGCTACACTCCTGTCTTTATGTGGCGGTGTCAGGAATTTTGTCCTGTCGAGGGGAAGCTGACTAATACAGCCAAGCTGCAGAGCGTGAAACGAGTCAAATGAAGAGCGAGGAAAGGGGGAAAAGTAGAAAACATGAAAAAAAGGAAAAAATGAAAACAAACCTTTCGTAAGTGGGGAGGGCAGGAGGGGTTGAAGGGAAGGTAAATAAATGGGGAAAACACATTGTGTCATGTACAGGTACAAATTCTCAGTGATGAGTGTGATCATTATCGATGTCCAACATGTGCCAGTAAAATCTGACTGAAGGAAAAAAAGTCAGGGAAAAACCCCAGAAACTGGAGTCATGCTGGGTGTGGTGGTGCCCGTCTGTGCTCCTAGCACTGCGGGAGGCTGACCAGGAGGATTGAAAGTTTGAGTGCAGTCTGGGCAACTTTTAGTGGTTTTCCAAGACTCTGTGTCAAAATTTAAAAATAAAAAAAAGGTCTGTGGGTGTAGCTTAGTGCAGAGGGTATGGGTTCAGTCCCTAGTACTGTAAATCAAGGAAGCAAGTGAGCAGAGTCAAACAAGCAAAAAAGTTGTAAAATCCGGTTTTAAGAGATCTAAACTTGTGATTTCTTTTTTAAAAATTTTTTTAATTTTAAAGGGGGTAAGATTAAACACAACATAACAGAACAAAATGGGACATAAGAAAGCAATGTAAGAGATATAAATTTCAAAGCTACATGACCTAGATCTTCACTGTCTATCATATTGTCTCTTGTTTTCTTCCAAATAATTGTCCATGTCTTTACATACAGAGAATTCATACAAAACAACATAGTATAAAACAGATCTGAATAGAACGAGGAACCAGACAATAGGGAAGTCAGTAATGGCTGTTGTAGAGTCTCTTGTTCTCTTCAAAATAGCTGTCCACACTTTCGTGTATATTGAAGTTCAATAAAACAAAACAGGCGGGGGGAGGGGTTGCTTGGTTTCCCGGTGCTCCAGGTCCCAGAATGGTGCGGGTCCCAGTACACACCAGTGGCTCCCGTGCTGGGCCACCTGAGCCTGCCACACGCACAGCCGCTTACCAGGGGGGGAGGGGAACTTGTGATTTCTTACCCCGTAAAAAACTGTGTCTTATTGCAAGTTTAGACCTGAAATAAATCACCCCGTGGCAGCATTTCCAGACATTCTCCACTTAACAAGAGCCAAGTCCTTCCGTGGGAGGTTTGGGACTGGCTTTCTCTTCAGTCTCGGTTTTGTTTTTTTTGGTTTTTTTTGGTGATGGTGGGGGTACCAGGGATGAAACTCACAACCTCATGTTTGCCAGGTAGGCACGCATGCCACTGAGCTAAATCCCTGCCTTAAGTCTGTTTTTTTTAAAGACAGATCTCACCATGTAGCAAGGTTTACAATCTCATAATCCTCCTTCCTCGGCTTTCTGAGTGCTGGGGTTACAGGCATGTGCCACTATAGGAATCTTGGGTGTCTTGTTTTGTATTTTGGTAAGTCAAAAATCTTTCCTTTTGGTGTTCTGTAGCATGAGCCTAAGACCTCCTGTGAGCTAGGCAAGAACCATCCAACTGCATTTCCAGGACTTTTTAAATTTTAAATGGAGACAGGATCTCACTGAATCGCTTTGGATGGCCTCAAACTTGTGATCGTCTTGCCTCAGCCTCCAAAGTAGCTGGTGTTACAGATGTGTGGCTCTACACAGTACTTAGCCTCAACCTCACTTTTATTGTTTTATTTTTCTAAGACAGAGTCTCACCACATAGTTCAGACTAACTTTGCACTCACTTCCTAGCCAGGCTGGCCTCAAAATTGTGGCAGTCCTCCTACCTGAGCCTCCTGAGTGCTGGGATCACAGGTGTACCACCACGCCCAGCTTTAATCTCTCTTCTAAAGGACTTTACCAATGAATCAGCCAGGTGAAAGTCCTGGTTGGCCAGGGAGTGCATCCCAGGCACAGCTCAGGGTGGGGCTGCCTGGCTCCTGTCCGAGTCTTCTTCGACATGTGAGTGAGAATTAGGCAAGGAGCCAGGTGGGTTCAGGTCATTTGTAGAACATCTGTCCCTTCGTGTCTGTTGAGCATGATCCTAGACCCCTGCAGGTCCCGAATTCAAGCCTCTCATTTGATAATGATGTGATATTTTCACATAGTCTGTGAAATCGGTAGGTCTCCTAAATCTCCTGTGTGTAGGTGAGTTGATACCTGATGCCATGTACATGCTATATAAATCCTGTTATACAGTATTGCTTTAGGGAACAATAAAAGGAAAAAAGTGGACATGTTCAGTGCAGATGCTTTTTTGTTGTTTTGTTTTGTTGAGGGTCTCGCCTTGTAGTCTAAGGTGGCCTTGAACTCGCAGGGGGTGGTCCTCCTGCCTGTCTCCAGAGTTGTAGGATTGTCGTTGTACACCACCACCCTGGGCTGTGGTGCACTGCTTGAGGGAATACTATTTTCCGGATGCGGTGTTGGGGTCTGAGGCTGTGGAGGGCCAGCTGTGCCCCTGGGAAGAGGGGTTTCTTGGAAGGAGGGAGGAGAGTAACCGTGTGGTAGGAGTGCAGTGTGGTCTCTATCAGGTCTCTGCCACCATGGAGAGAACCTGAAATGAACATTCAGTGAAGGGAAGTTTACCCTGGCGCACGGGGTACGAGTGGTTGGTCCCTGGTTGCCGCACCTGTTGCTTTGGCCTGTGGCACCAGAGTGCACCATGACACCAGGTGTATGGCACGCGAGGCCCGCTCACCTCACAGTGGTGGGGAGGCAACAAAGGAGGTGCCAGTGTCCTACAGTCCCCTGAGGGGGCTCCCCGTGACCCTAAGGCTTCCAGCACCTCCTGAGGATACCACACGCTAATGACAGGGAGGTCAGCATACGGGTGTTTGGGGGACGGTTCAGATTCCATCCAAAACGTGTCCTGAATAATCAGTGTCTCAGAGAGCAATAGTCTTTGTTTGGAAAAATTAGTGTTGTAACAGGAGTACACAGGCCATAGTGAATGCTGGGAGGTGGAGCCAGGAGCGGGTTTTGAAGGCAAGAAAGGAGAAGATGTGTGCACTCTGAAAACTGAGTTGTTGGCCTTAGAGGCCCGGGGTTGCCGGGACCTGCTTGCCGGTAGAGTGTCTCGCTGACAGGTGTTCTGTACAGTGTGTCCTCTCTGCATCGCTGCATTCTTGAAGGGTGTGACAGATAAACGTCATTGCATGAGTCTGTGAGGAGCGCATGTGACAGGTGAGATGCTCGCAGAACTAGAAGGGGCTGGTGGAGCTTACAGAGTGTGGTGCTGGACTCACCCCAGGAGGGAGGCGGGCGTGCCGACCCTCGCCCTTCCCCACTCCGGGGTTCTCGAGGCCTGATGAGAACAGTCTCATCTCAGCAGTGACATCTCCTGTGGCTGGTGTAACAGGCAGGGCAGAGTTGCTTGCTGGGAGCATGGATGGGAGTCAGGCTCTGCAGGGGACAGATCATCAGGGAGGTGATGGGGGCTGCGGGAACAGGTGTCCCAAGACAGTCTCAGCGGAGTGGTGCACTGGGGACTTGCGGAGACTTTTCATAGAGAATTAACGCTGCAAGGGATGCTCTAGACTGGGACCAGCTGACTGTTAAAGAAAATGCTCTTCATTGAAACTGCAGCAAAACACTATCTCATGACCCTTGGGGCGGCATTTGTCAGACAGACAGAATCCGCGTTGCCTCGGGTGTGGGGAAGTTGAGTGCCACGTGCTGCTGTTGCCATGGGAAGTGATGCAGCTGCTGTGG